AAATTAAACAGCTGGTGTTTTGTATATGACTGCATGCAAATATGGCAATTTCCATGGAAAGGGCCTGAAACACTTTAAATGCAATATTGTTATAAGTTGATATTTTTTTCTTTTTCAACAAATTGACAGTGAAAGGAGGAATTTACCACTCAGAAAAGTTGATTGTCAGCCTCAGGTTATTTTGTAGATTTGTGCAGTCATGTTAGTATAATTTTGAATTATATATATTTTTGTGTATTCATTATAATGGTTATGGTAGGTTAATTATATGTTAGATTGTAATTTATGTTATATATATATATATATATATATATATATATTAGTCAGTAAGATTTTATGAAACAAAATAATTTTATTCAGCAAGAATGCATTAAACTGATAAAATGTGACAAACTTGTGCTTTGTTACAAAACATTTCTTTTTTTTTTATTAAATGCTGATCTTTTGAACGTTTGCGCGCACAAATTTTAAGCAGCACAACTGTTTTCAATATTGATAATAATAAATGTTCCTTGAGCAGCAAATTAGAATGATTTATGAAAGATCATGTGAGACTGGAGTAATGGCTGCTGAAAATTCAGCATTTCCATCACAGGTGGAAGTAATAATAACTTTTACATTTATGCATTTAGCAGACGCTTTTATCCAAAATGACTCAAAATATTTCACAATATTACAGTTTTTACTGTATTTTTAGTCAAATACATACAGCCTTGGTGAGCATAAAAAACAAACTATTGAACATTAGAGTATATATATGTCTAATAATTTCCACAACCAAAAATATTTTCCGTAAAAAAAAAATAACAGGACACCACAGTGTTTTGAATTTGTGAAAAGGGGTAAACGGTATGTCCTCTCTCTTTCATTTTTTTGTTAGTCGGGACAACTCTCCCAGTCTCAAGGAAATCCGAAACGGTTGTCAGCAGCAAAGTGAGAGGAAGCCGCCCATGCCTTTGCGCTTACTGCGGCCTGAGCCGCCCACGCCTCCCCCGACCACCACCCTGTCCCCACCTCCGGCCCTGCCCCTCTCACCACCACCTTCTATCGTCAACTCCAGCGAGATCCTGGTAGAGCTAGAGCGCAACAACAACACCACTAACACACTGCGCAAGGCCCCTGCAGAAGGCGACAGCGAGCCCAACCTGATCGACTGTCTACTGGTCAGTCCCGCGCTCAACGCCCTGTCCATTCAGCTGCCTGCCCACGCCGACAGAGTGCTGGGATGTTTTGCCCTCATCCTTAAGATGCTGTGAGTATGGCATCCCTGGATCTTTCTGTTACTATTCCACACTATACCTCCATCCAGTTTTAAAAAGTTTCTTTAGGCAGTAATGGCTGCCAGTCCTGGCCACATGGTAGAGGTAAATGCTGCCATCGTCACAGGACCTCAAATAAATAGTGCTAACTTAATTTTAGGTTAATTGATGAGCTTGCC